TGTTCTGAATTCAGTAAAAGCTCTGGAATTCGTGCATGGGTTGTTGTCCTCAGATCAGGTCAGAGTGAGTAGAAAAAAGGCCCAACAGAGCAGAGAGCTTTCCCACAGAGAAAGAGAAGAGAAACTCCAGGATGACATGAACAAGAACAAAAGCAAGGAGCAACTGTGGAAGTCACCCTGAGGATTATGTGTATTTCTTCAGTTGATGCTGTTAAAAATTCATATTTATTGCTTTAAAGGACCACATTTTATCCTTCATTCCTGCAAGACTCTTGCTGTAGATTGTGACGATTATTTACATCTCAATTTATTTCTCAGCCCATTAGCCATAATTAAAAATAGAATTTTGCACTCTCCAGAGTCCTTTCCTGGAGACTTTCACCTTGTAGATGAAAGGGGATTAGATAGGATGATTTATTGGGCTCATGTACAGTCCCCTGAGTGTACTGTGGCACTGAGCTGAAAGAAAGATGAAATGATATCCAGTCTGGCAACCACTCGCACCATGAGTTGAATATATCCTGTCCCTTGACAAAAACTCTGTCCTGTTCCATCCAAATTTGCTTGAATTCCTGATGTGTGTGGGCTCTTGGTAGCATGAAGTTAGGGTTGGAGAAGGCAGTGGCTGTCTGCCAAGGCAGTGTGCCTTTAGGATGCTAGACTCTGTACTTATGATTGTGTTGTCATGAAGTGCCTTAGGCTGTGCCAATGAAAAGTGCCAAAAATTATTTTTTACGGTTATGACATTCCATCTTGAAGAGAGAATTGGAAATGATGTTCAGAATCACAGATCTGACATTTGATCGTTGTTCTGCAATTACTTTTCAGATTTTTAGGACTTTTTGGTACTAAAGTCAAATAGAAATGCAGTCATAAATCTGGCAAAGGCTTTGCTTTCTTGCTTGCTTCTCCTCTGTTAAGTCAGAGAAACAAAAAGAAAGAAATATGTGGCTGTGCACAGTTACTACCACAACATTAAAAAATTTCTTTGAGGTGATTATTCTATGAGAGGAGATAGCAAACCTTTGTTATCACATTTGTTAGGGCAAGGTTTCAGGACCATGATGTCTTTTGAAACATTTCTAGATGCCTTATTACTTTCTTAGATGCTCTTAAAAGTGTGCTTTTTTTTGACTCTGAGTTCTTTGTCTTTGCTAGGTACTAATGAGGGTACATCCTGAAATACTCTTGATAAAACCCCAGCTTATTCATACCAAAACACCTTTTTCTTCAACTCAGAGTCCTGTAATGCAATGTGTCTCACAGGAAAAGATAAAAGATCCCGGCAAAAGGATGCAGCTGGCTAGGGCTATTTCCCTTGCAGGAAAGGATACTGGCAGGAGGGTAATTTACTGGGACTGAAGTGTATTGATTTCCACAGATGCCTTATTGCAAAAAATTCTGATGTCCAGAATGGAATCTGGTCTGAAAGAGAAGGAAAAAAACTCTACCACCCTAGAGAAACTGCTTGTAAGAGCACAGGATTGCTGATAGCATCCCAGCTTCAGGACCCCAATTCTAATTCAGGCACAGTGAAAATTTGCACCAGTTTAGTGAGATCCAGCCTATACAGGCTGGGTTTTTGTTGCTATTACTGACTGAACCCTAATGGCATAGTTGTTTCTGTTGATAGTTTGAATTCCTTGGATATTACACTGGTTTTAGTGTCCTTCAGATATTTTTTTTCATTAATGAATCTGTGCTGTCCATATGCTATGATTTTCCAGGGATGTTTTTTCTTTGGTAGGTTAAAGAGATGTCTTTAACCTGCAACACTTCCTCGGCATAGTGGCGTTGTGGTGAAAAATGGTGATTACATGTAAAAGCTCATTGTGGAAAATATATCCCTTGGCACATCCAGTTCATTAGGGCTGTGTAACTGATACAAAAACTACATACAGTTTTCTTGATTTACAGGATTTTTTAGTCTATCTCAAACCTGATTCTCATTACATCTTTGGACTTCCTCCTAGAAATTAGGAATGCTTAAAAGCAATCTGTGGTTTGTGTCATCAGTGTATGATTCAACCACTGGAAGAGATACATTTGGGTAGACTGAAAGAGGACGGAACTGGTTGTATTTTCAACCTAAAATAGTACTTCTCCAGATTGTGTTTGGGCAAATATTGTTCTCTTTATGTGCTTGTATTCCAGACAGTCTGTGGTGTACCTGTGAAGCAGAACTGTCTTGTCTCCATCTTACCCAGGACATATCCCACAGACTGTTGCCTTTATTTTTGTAGGATTGTGAGCAGAAGGAACTGAACGTGTGGCAAAATTAATAATTGGGTAGCATTCATAGTTTTATTCTTAATTAAGGACAACTGGTTTGAATAAGACGTTTTTATTACAAGCAGGGGTTTCCATGGTTGCCCTGTGCTGAGATACCCGAAGGTCATTTTATTTGGGGAGTTGGGGAGCCATTTTGTGGCTGAGGACTGGTGGGCTGCTTACTGTTCTGCTTAGAGTTACCTATTGCTGCTTACTGTTCTGCTTACAGTGTTGCTTACAGTTACTAACTGTTACTTACAGTTATGGTGTGAAGGCAGGCAGGAAAGTATGTAAGGCAGTAAGACCAGTCTGGGCTCACTGCCAAGGGACCATGCGGCTGGAGGCAGGGAAACCACTTGATAGGTTGATTAAAACAACCAGTGGACTGCAAGAAGAAGATTATATGACCTTTTAAGGAAGAAAAGAGGGAGGCTTGGCATGGGAGGAGCGAGGGAGTGGTTATGTAAATCAAAGGGTCTTAAAAAGGCTCGTCCCTCCCATTTGGGGTGTGCTCAAACGTGGTCATGAGTTAGGTGCACCCAGTGTGCTGTTAATGAAGTTCTTTGTTTCACTTTATTTGACCATCTCTGAAATTTTAATTAGAGATATTTCTCACAGCTATGTGAAACATATTTCCTCAGGGCTGTGGTGAGGGAGAAGTCACAATTTCACCACTAAAACAAAGCGGAAAAAGACACCAGCAAACAAAATAGGCATACTTTAATATTCATCAAAGTCAACAGGAACTTTTTGACTTTAAAGGGCATTGGACTTAACCCTGCATGATCATATTAAAATGCTTAGAAGTGCTTAAGTACTTATTCTTACCATACTGCAGTAACAGAGCCAGAAAAACTGTAGGCGGATTTTAATTTAACCCACTCCGTACATTTTTAATTGTGTTCACATAGTTGGTTGCATACAGTTGGATTAGGTGGCAATTTGCCTGATGATTTGTGTTTGACTGTTGCTACATGCTTTTATAGTTGTTTCTCTCTTTACATAGTCTTCTTGTAGGCTGATACAATCCTTGCTTAAATTAATACACTTCTATGAAAGCAAAGCTAGTGACTTCTGTGAGCTGTAGTATTGTTATTTAGTGGTCTCAGTATGGTACAGTTCTTACCCTGGGGATGGGACTGTGGAAGGGGCTGCAGGCACGAGTGTCTCTTCTGCTGAAAGGACTCACAATGCTTCAGAGCATGCATGGTCCTTTTTGTGGGACTTGGAAGAGGACACTGAGCTATCACCACTGCTGCTATGTCTGCTGTTGATCGGTGTCTGTTATCAAGAAAGCACAAACCACTCCATGCAATGCACAGTTTAAACTTCAGGGCCCTGGCAGAAATTGGTGTTAGAGTAGGGAGTTTAAGGGCTGGCTGAAGCCTTCAAGATGCAGGAGAGTAATTATCAGCCAGCCTGGTCTCTGTTTTTCACCCAGCTAACTGATGATTTGGGAATTTGGTTAGCCACTAAGCTTTGTCTGACTTCAGAGATCTGTGGCCACTCAACATATTGGAGAAAGCAAATGGTTGCCTTGAAACAGATCAAACAGAGTGGTCTGAAAGCCAGTTACTACCCAAATGGAAGATACCATTTAAATGGCATTGCATCTCAATTGCTTCTAGTGCTTGGCAGGCTGTGTTCAGAGAAGGCCATTGTCAATGCAAGGTGAAGGTGAGAGCTGGCCCATTTGGAGATTTGTTGTGCTTACTTATGATCTTTATTTATTGCCTCAATTTCATCTGCACTGATTACATGCTATGTTTTTAAGTAACTAAAAATTAAGAGGAATGTCTGCCTATGAAAAGATAGAGCATTTGCCACTTCTGTTTTCTGGTAAATTGGATTTTGAAAGTCAGGACTGAACAGAGCACAATGAACCCTTTGTCCTTGCACAGCAAACTGAATTTAAGGAATGTATGTTATGACAAATGGTATGAATTTTGTGGCTTGGGCTCCAGCAACAAGAAAAGGCAGTCCTTTTTTCCCATCAGCCAAATAATATGGCACCATTTAATACATCTGGTATGAAGCCTAAGAATAATAGGTATAATAAAGAAACTGAAAACTTTCTTCTTTTACAAACTGAAAGTGGGGGGAGCTGTGAATTTTACTTTGAGAACCATGCTGGAAGATGGCCTTTCTTGCCCCTCCAGGTCTGTAGTCTTATTTTATAACCACATTGGTATTTCTACCTGTCCATTCATTTCACTGATATTGCAAAACAACAATGGAAGATGGAGGTTTTTTGTTCTTTTAATGTGTGGAGCTCACTGGAGGTGACTTCAGTCAAAGTCTAGGATTTAGAAACCCCAGAGGTTAAGATGATTTGCTCTTTGCTTCTGCAGGATTATTGGAATCACTTTCTAATTTATTTTATTTTTTAAGAAAATGTCTTTTATTGAAAACCACTAGATTTATAAATGTGTCAAGTATGCCCCTGCTTCTGTGGATTCAAGAGTAAGTCCCAAAAGAATGACTATTTTCTAAAAAATCTATTTTATTTTTTAAAAATCTTTTGATTTGTTTGTTCTATGTGCTTATTCCTGTTTGGCCTGGAGAAGAATAAAGGAGCTAGAGAAACCTGCCTTCTGTATGCAGTGTTGAATCTGGTTTAATTGCATGTTTAATTAAGTGGTCTGGTTTAATTGAATGTATAATTGTTGTAGATGGAAACCTGCTTGCTTATATGCACTGGTGAAATATCTATTTGGTTTCTTGTACAGAAAAGAGTCAAAGACGTCATCTCTCCAATTGTATTTGAAGCTGCATACAGCCTTTGGGAACATGTGATAGAAAGAGGAAAAGAGGACAAGGAACTACCTGCTCTCAAACCCATTCTCCGTTGGAAGAAAGGACAAAAGATAGCACAAAGGAATCAGGTCAGATTTGGGCTACATTATTTCCCTAGAAGACCTGTGGCTTGAACTGACAGCAGAGGTGGCTGTAAAAGTGGATTACCAAACTCTGGGTCATTTGCAAAAAGTAGCCTTTTTATATAATCCCTACTGTTGCTAACATCACTGCTGTTCCATAACATAGTAAAGACTTGGGCTGCCATGACTAGACAGCAAAAGGTGAGACCACTTTCTTGTTTCAGGGTGTCTGTGCTGGGAAGGGAAAGGATAAGAAAGGTCCTATTCCTCCTGTTCTTCCCTTTTTGCAGGAGGTTCTAGTGAAAAGCTTGGTCCTGGCCTTCTTTCCAGGTCTTTGTTAGTGCTGGAGGGACAGAGCTGACTCCAGGAAGGGACATGGGAACTGTGTGAGGGGAGAACAGTGGGCAGAATAAAGAAAAATTTGCCTGGCTCAGCTACCCTCTTCTTGAGGACTCCTCAAGTCCAGTTATGTGGCAAGGGAAACCTGCTCCAGCTATCACTGTAGGACATGTCATGGTAAAATGGGATGGTTTTGTTTCAGAGAAAGTAAAGTGTAGGTAGAGCCATCTACATATTAGGATCCTATTTTGTTCCACTGCAATGCAGAGAAACCCTTCTGTCATTAATTTTGGTGAGAGCAAGAGAATTGCCTTAATGTTGAATCCTCATTTAAAGGGTAGAAATTCTTTCTATTATTATTATTTCATTTCTCTCCTGTCCCCCTTTCTCCCAGATTGTTCCCTAGGGGACTGAAGTGCATGAGATTATTCCACCTCTCATTTGTCTGTCTTGATCTCACTAGTATCTTTGAAAAATTCAGGCAAACGTTGTCAGGTTTTGACAGGAGTGATCAAGGCAGCGCTTATGAAGGTATTAAACACTTTCAGGGTTCACAAAGCACGTGCTTGTGTTGATGAGAGAGACCCTGCTAGTGGCCTTTTAAAAGCCTCCATTTTCAGTGTAGCCCTTGTAGGTGCAAAACAGTCTGCCGAGGAAGGAGCCTGCACGACAATTCAGCCTTCCACCATGCCAGCACCGAAGCATTCAGCCGTGAAGTTCAAGGCTTCTCAGGGAAATCAAAGTTCTACTGTGGTAGGGAAAGCTTCTCGTGTGTCAGAATTGTGGGGTAATTTACGCTGGAAGGGTCCTTTGTAGCTCCAGTTCCTTACTCAAAGTAGAGCCAACTTAAAAGTTAAATTAAGTTGCTCAGGGTTACATCCATTCAATTTCATTTTCCAAAGCATGCCTACATAATTAGGATCTGACATTACTTGTGAATGCAAAACTTCTCTTTTCTTTTTCCTTTTTTTTTTTTAAGTAGCAAAAAGTCTGTCCTAGAGTCTGAGACTTTCAGCAGTGAATGGTTAGATCTGGTTTTTAACCCTAGGAAGTTTGTGTCTATTAAGTGATGATAGCATCATAATCTGTAGCATTACTTTCTGATGCTGCTCATAAGATCCCTGAATACTACTTAAAAAAAGAGTAACTAAAATGTTTAAAGATATTTGCTTTCTCATATACCCAAGTGTGTTGAACTGTATTTGGTTATAATCCTTGTACTTAAGAGATATGAGTATTAATTCAAGTATGATTTATTTTTATAAATGTATGAATGAAAGATGCATTCAAGAATTACTTTTTTTTATGAAGAGAAATTGTGTGACTGTTATGTATATGAATTTTGTATTGTTGCAAAAACATGATGGGAATTTGTGGAGAACTTTGGAACTCGAGTAGTATGCTGAAAACCTGCATATTGCATGAACAAAGCTGCTTGTATACTTTACGTATGGGCTTCAACTCAAAAGGTCACATCTTGCTCTGCAGGCGTGGTTTCAGATCAGTATTAAAATACCTAAATGCTGAGATTATAGAACAGAAACAAAAATATTTTAGGAATTTCCCTGACTTGTTTTCTTGTGCAGTTTGGATGAGAGGGAGAGGGTTTAACAATCCCTTTCCATTTGCTTTCCAGATGTTGTTCACTTAGCTTAGTAAGAAAAGGATTTTGACATTGGGAATGCTGGCGTGTTTTCAGCTAAGGAAGTAAGAAAAGCTTCAGAGCTAGTGTGGCAGTCATGGTGACAAAGCCCTGATGGAGTAACCTTGGTGCTGGACATGTGGAGGCGTGGTGCTGGGGTCCTCAAAGGCCAATTTCATGGGAAAATTGGGATGTAACATTCTCTTTCAGGATTCTTATTATATTCTTAGTAGAAATGGTTTTTAAAAGCCAAGAGCTTTTATAATAAATGATTTGCATTTTCAGAGAATCTAATGGTTTTGAAAGAACATTTTGGAAGTCCAATTTAAGTCTCAGTGGTTTCTGTTTTTAGAAGATACGGCACAGGTGAGGTCAGGTGGACAAAGTTAATGTTAGTACTAATGTCTTTAAATATAGCTGGTTGTGTGTTGTTTTGGCAAGTCCTAGATCCTGTTGATCCAGTAAGACGTGGCATTTTGGAATCAAAATTGTTGCATATGTTCGTTCAAGACACCATTTAGATGAGGATACTTTTCTGAAACACCGGGTGACTGTTTTTTGTGAATGAAGGCAGAAGAAGCTGGAAGTAGTGAATAGCTGAAAAAATGGGAGGATACCATCACTGAGCAGGAAAGGGGGAGACTTCCATTTTTCAACATCCTGCTACAGCTCTGCTAGACCTTCTCGAAAAGCCATACATTTTGCAAACATGGACTTTACAGTCACCTAGATGTGATTTTATTTAAAGTAAAGTGATGTTAAAGCTGAAGTGATCTCTTTCACTGGTATTTCAGTTTTTCTTTCATGAACCAGATGTTTCCTGCATTCGTCACCTCCCAGCAAGTGTACAGCCCTATGACTCACAAACAAGGAGGTAGGAAAGCCATCAAGAGGCCTCTTGACATAACAATTGAAGATTATATTGAGCATGTGAAGTTCTTTGTGTTGTTTTGCTCTGATGCATTTGGAAATACTGTTCATGGATATCCACTACCGAAAGTGACATCTCCTTAATGACGTAATCACAGAAAAGGATTTTGTTGGATATTCATCTTTTAAATCAGTGGTGCACTATATGTGAGAGAACAGTCTAACCCTGTACTCATAACTTAGACCAAAGCAGAACTATAATAGTAAAGGAGTGCATTGATGTGAGATGTCATTCAAAATGCTTTTATTTATTGGTCACCTTAATTTTAAAAGGATGCAGCTTTTACTGTAAGGCACTGCAAAATGCTTTTATTTAAAAATAAAACAAAACAAAAGTAAACTTTGACTGTTCAGTGAAGAAACCTTCTTCTGTTCCTAAATGAACTGTGCTTGAAACAATCAAAAGATGATAAATAATTGTAATATCTAACTTATTTGAAGAAAAGGTTCTTCACTGAAATTTCTTAATGAAAAACATGCAATTTTAGGATGTCATTATTGGTTATTTTTTGCAAGCAAATAGGCTCAGATACTTCAAAATTAAGTAATAATGTAACTAAGCCGTTCTGAAGGATTATTTGGCCCAGGACGCAGTAATGGACTTTATTATTTTCTTAGTTCTTATATATGCTTACCAGAAATGGCAGTTGCTATAGACTGATGTAATTTTTTGTGGCAGAAAAAGTAAATACTTATACATCTATTGATAAATGGCTCAGCAACTAGTACAATTGTTGGATGGAGACTAGCTGCATGGAGAAGATTATAGCTTTCCAAATTAGCCAGCTCGGTTTTGCTCAAACAGGAAATCTCTGATGGGTTAAGATTAGGTGGGGGGAAAAAAAGGTTCTATTTTTCAAGAGCATATTACAAACTTTAAAACTTCCCACTCTAAGGATGAATTTCCATTAGCTTCTTTATTGGCTCTCAAATCCAGTTGCTACCTCCATCCACAGGAAAAAAACTAGTAAGTCTGCTTGCTTCAGGGAAATTAATATGTATTTACTTGTTTTGGCTTTGTAAGTGGTTTATACTATAACATTTATTTTTGTATACCCACTGTATGTCAACTAAGAAGAGGAGAGCTCTCCTGCCATGTACAGTGGAGAATTGTTCTTAGTAGTATCCAGTAATGCATCTTAGAGTTCAAAATGTGGTAGACTAGAATTCTGCCTGCTCTAAATACTGTAATAATATCACCTACGATTATGTGGATGGAGACACCATTTTGTTTTAGGAAAATATTCTTATTGGTTTTTTTTGTGCTGGTGTCTTCAGGAATTTGTAAATGGTCTACCATAAAACCTTTTATAAGTTAAGAGACAGAAAATGTTTAGGACTTTCTGTTCCCAGCTGTTTTACTGATTTGCAGTGAGAATTTGTGTCCATTGCTGCACCCCTGGGTGACTGACACTGCATGTTTCTTGAATAAACTTCACTTTTTTAAAGCAGAGATCTATTTTTTGGAAACACTTGTGTTTGAAATCTGGCAAGGTATTTGCACACAAATTAGCTTGGTTGGCAGGTATGAGAAAGTATAGAAGTATTTTCGTGGAGCTGAATTATGAACATTTCTAGTGATTTTTGGTTTGCTGCACAATAATGCCATTCTCTATTTTAAAACATGCACACACCCCCCAGTCTCATACTGAGAACAAGGCAATGACAGATCTGGATAGGCTAAAATGCATGTCCATACGCACAGCATGGTCCAGGTTTGTCAGTGGTTCTTCTCCAGATCTCTTACTTTCTACAGAGGCGTGCCTCCTTGAGTCAGGTCATGTCACTGCCAGCAAGCTGAGCTGTGTGTTGGAATGACATCTTGGCATTGGAACAACATCTTCGTGCTGGCAAGCTGTTGGAATGGCTCTTGGCTTGATTTTAACCTGTACCAACTTCTGTAAACCATTTCTAGGCATGGGTCAGGAGATAGGATATTCCTGTCTTGAGGCCAGGACAGTTTAATTTACTGATACAACTGAAGTCTCAGTAGATTCATACAGCTGTCAGTAGCTGGATAGGTGGTAAATTTGAGGATTAATTGACTTACACACAGACATATAGGAAGTCCTTGGAGACTGCAGGGGTCAGTCTA